TTTATGAATGATCTCCTATTGTCAGCGTTGAAACAAAAAAGATTATATTATTGTTTTTATAACTAAAGAAAGAATTAAACTCTCAATCGTTAAGAGCAATAAAACGGGTCAATTCTTTGTGCCGATCCAAGTGCTTTAAATAGTAGAGAGGCAGAAAAAAAACAACAGAAAGTAATCTCAATTTCTGTTTTGGAATAGTTTATACCAACAATTCTCTATTTATCGTTTCAAGCTTAAAACCGCAGTTCTATCTAAACAAATTTCACACAATATAATGAATCTATATATATATTAAAGAAGTATTCAATAGTAAAGACAAATGTTTATAGACATCATTTGATACCAATACAGATCAAGCCATTAATCAATGTTACCTCAAGATAAAGATAAAGATAGAATAGTGCTGTTGTTTTTCTTCCTAATCTCTTCAAACTTTAATACGGATATATTAATTATTTTCATATATATAACCAATATCAAGTTCTTTTGAAAAAAGAACAAAATAAGATCATTATCGTCTAAATAATGTAGTAGATTCTTTGTTTATATTTTTATTCTCATATTGATTTTCTTTCTTCTCATATCATGCAACACGAATATTATCATTAACTACGCACTTAAGTCTAATCTAAACTCTATTGCCGTTAATTTGCTTTTATGAATAATAATTCACCTCATCATAACAATCAGAAATGTGTGATGCTATATCTTTCGTCAAAAAATGAATCAATAATTTTCTTTTATCAAATAAAAATTCATATGTTCATTTTTCTCAAAAAAAAAAAGAAGAAAAATATTTCCAGATAAAAACAAAATTCTATTAAAATGATATTTATTTCCTCTTGTTTGCTTTTCAAAGATGTATTATGTGTGAAATAATTAACATATGCTACTTGATGATGCCAAAAAATGTGTCTTGGGTACAAATACATAAAGAAACGGAAACGAAAGTTAGTCAGTTCATCCGCCTGTATCCTGTACGATTGACGACTAGAATTGATTCATTATTCTTTTGCATTATTTAAATGTCATAATAATCAGTTATGCGGTTGACTTTGTCTATATTGTGTTTGTGTGATCATAAATTCAAGAACAATAAAATTTAAAAAAATAAAGTGAAAAGAAAGAAACAAAATTTTTCATATGGAGTTTACTGTCAGAATTTTTTCTCTTGTCTAATTCTTTATTCATGGTCGCATTTAAAGACATATTAACAGGCATGAGAAGCCGTACCTAATGAAAAAAGCATTTACGAAAAATAAAGAAAAAAATAGATTGGTTTTGCACGTAAGAGTATTTTATAATGAACATTTGCGTAAATGAATAACTTTATGCTTCATTCGAAAATAATATTTCAATAAAACTACTTAATCAATAATAGTAGAATGGCTTAGAATCAAAAGCCTATGTAAGAGAAAAAAGACCATACTAACATTTTCTAGTATTATCGACGTCGATTCAATTCATATATGTTATTCCTTATATATATTTTATTGGTACGGTTTCTATTTGCTATTAACATATAACTTAGCTTGATTAATTCTTCTAAAGCAAAATATTAACCCGATGACGAGATTAAAAAAGAAAAGTAGAAAATGTGAATTCATTTATAACTAAAACAAGCATTCGGCCATAATATGAAACACCATACTGCATACCAGCAAGGGAGAGAATTTATATAGATAACCTTCGTCTTGATAATCAAGGTTTTTAGTTCCATCAAATGACAAGAAAAAAAAGATTTTTTTCATATACATAAATGCTGTCTACATTCTTTTTGAAGTAATTATGATTTAACTAGTTCCATCACTTTTTATTGTTTCTTTCTTAGACAAAGACTAAAAAAAACACACTATTTTGTTATTTGCATGATAATATTAATGATGCACTAATTTGATAAATATGACAAGATGAGGATGATATGTGAATGATCAAATACATTTGTTATTTTTGTTTGTATCTTTAGACTTCGTTTCGTTCGAATAAATATATGTGAATGACTGGCATTGTTGCCATCATTGGATATACACAGAGTAAAATCGGTTATTAGTTTCCGATGGTGGCCCACAGCATCATGTCTGATATCGAATGAATGATAGATCGACTGCTGTGCACATAAACCGTTGACACATGGCTTAAATTACTGATAACAAATCTGTTGTTAAAGTCAAAGTGACTGCTGTCAGACCGAAATAAATACATGTATACATCTATGCAAAATAATATTAAATTGAAAATAACACGATAAAGATGAACTAGCTCTGTGATATTTGAAGAGATTTGTCTACATTTTTTTACGATCAATGTCTAAACGTTACATTATTATTACCTTCTTTTTTTCTTGTTATTTTTCAACGGAAAAGAGAAACGGTACTATACTATGAGAAAAAGATAAGAAAGAATTGATGATCCTAGAAAGAAGAAAGGAAAGAAAAGCAAAAAGAAAAAAAGAATATAGAAAAAAGAAAAGAATATGGAAGATTGTGAATAAGATTCATTGGTGTTCCTTTCTCACTTTCTTGAACAGTAATTAAACAGAGCTCACAATGAATGGCTCATCGAATTTATATTTCATTCAATATGGTAATAATAACGCTCAAATAACTGATCGTCTTCTTTCAATCTATTCACTTTTACTAATTTTAATTGGTACTCCATGTAATCTTCTTTGTTGTGTAATTTATTTACAAAAGTCAAATCGTTCAAATTCAATAAAGACGATATTTGGTTATTTAGCTATCCTTGATACAATAGTTTTATATACATTTAATTTAAATTATGTCTTTCGAGAATTTAATTTTGACGTTCGAATAACTTACTTTAATAACAAACATAATTATAATAACAATAATAGCAACAATAATAATACTGGTTCATATTTTAATGAGAGTGATAACATAAATGGTATTATTATTAAAAAAAATCTTGAAGAATATTCACTATTTATCTGTCGTTTTCTATCTTATATTGGTAAGAAAAATCAAATATAAGAATAAAATCTAATTCTTCACATTTATTTTAGCTTTTTCTACCCTACAAACGTCCTCATGGATATTAGCATTTGGTTCATTTAATCGTTATTTATTAATAAAAAAGCTATCACATTTTGAATTTATTTGTAAACGATGCTATACTATAGCAATATGTTGGTTTTTAACATGTTTATTTTTTCTATCAAATTTGCATATACTCTGGATGAATGGTTACCGTTCACCATCTGGAGGCATAATATGTTATAAAAATAAATATTATCCAAATTATATAGTTTGGTATCAACGGTTACATTTAATTCTTTACTCAGTTTTACCAAGTATTATTTTGTTTATATTTAATATACTTTTAATGCGTATTATATTTGCAAGTAAGAAACGCTTAGATAATCATAGACGTATAGTTTTGTTTGCTGCCGCAGCAACAACAGCAATACCAATTAATAGACAAAGAAATTTTCTTGCTATACAACAGATGTCATCATCAGCATTAAAGCAAACAAATAAAAGTAGTCCATCAAGATTACTTAATCGACATAGTCGAAAATTAACAATATCATTGATATTTATAACAATATCTTATTTTACATTAACATTTCCATCAACAGTTATTTTTTCATTCTTTCGTTCGTATATTGAACCACCCGCATTAAGACGAACTATATCACTTCTATTTACCAATTTATCAACAACAACACATGCTATTCGATTTTTTATTTATTTTTTTTGTTCAATTGATTTTCGCAATGATTTCTACAATTTACTTTTATTCAAACGACTATTTCGTCTCAAATCTATTAAAAAACAAGCACAAGAATATCGTACAACTTTAAATCATACAAATCCACGTCTTACAACTTCACATTATAGTAATAAGCAAATTGAATTGCAATTAATATCAAATAAAAAACAGTTGGATGGATGATGAAAGAGAAAAAAACGAATAAAAATGACAACATTATTTAATGTTAGATCGTGATCGATATATTGGATGAATGTATGCGTGTTATAATTGTCGTGTGTAAACATGAGTGCTCTAAATCTAGTTCAAAAGAAAACATAAGCTAACAACAGCAATTTTATTATTTTCTTCTTTTTGTTAATCAATTGTGCTTTGAATAGACCGTTTTCCATTGATACGAAGCACTTGAATGTTCTCACATATTCTATCTCGTTTTGAGACCTTATAAGAACTGACCTTGTCATCACATTTGTGTTTCTATGTATACAGCGTATATATATATATACATAAGAGCTCATCGATCTACTATATCAAACAAATATTGAAGTATGTTTGATTCTGTGTGCTAGTGCAAACTCGCCTGCTCGCCAATAATCATCATCGAATCGCATGAGTATAGATGCATACATTGGAAACACTCGACAATAGAAAAAAAAACGACGCACAACTACAAATAACAAGCGGATACGGTCTCTTGTCTCTTTTTTTTTTAAATTATTTTATTCTATTAAAGGACATATTGTTTTTTCATACCAATAAATGACAAAACTTGTAATCAATTCATCGTTCAAATATATAATAAAATGAAAATCAATGATTTTATTTACACTAGGTATTTTTTTTTATTGTCTCTAGAGAATTTCTGTCGGTGTATTGTGTTCTTATAACAAAGAGAATAATATTGTTACGCCTCATATTACCCTCACATCAACATTTATATATAGATTTTCTTTTTCATTCGAGAATTTCATTGATATAAAATAATATCATTAGCAATAACAGTATTAATATGAGATAAAAATATTTTTGATTCAAATTGAACAAAAGAATTCATTCATTTCAGTTTTGCGTGTTAATCCAATATTTTTCACTAGCGCAACAAGATATTATACGACAACAAGAACAAAGTAGATATACAGAGCATGAACGAAAGAAAAAAAAAAGAAAAATGAACAATGTGTTACGCATAGACATAAATGAAACAGACTTTGAGAGGTTCTTCTTCACATCACTGGGGTTGCGTCATAGACATTTTTTTGTTTTGTTTCTTAGGCTTCCATTTTCATATTGGCACTATTATTATTGCTACGCATTGTTTGTTGAATACGTCGACGTAATTCATTGACTTTACTTTCTTGAGCACGAATATGTTCATCAGTAATTGTAACGTGCTAAAAAAACGAAAAGAATTGAAATGAATATAAAAGTTTCCAAGAAAAGAAAAGAAATAACATACTTCAATTAATGGTTGATCGCGTTGAACATGAATAGTTGGATTTTTTTGAAATTGTTTACTTTGACCAAAAAGTGCACGTGAATTACTATATAAATGAAGTGATGTTGCAAGACTTATAACAATTGTTTCTGGTGACATATTAAGACCGATACCTAAATGAGTGCAATCATAGAAAAACTAATTAAAGTTTTTTTTAAATTTTACTAAAAATATAACCGAACAAAAGTTATTTTTAGATCAAAGAAGATATAGAATAGCATAAAATATTAATTATTTAGATTTGAATAAAAGAAAAGAATACTTTATTATAACTATATACTCATTGCTATTTTATAGACTTAAAGATTAAAGGACATTTTTGTGAATTTAGATCATCGAAAATAATCCTATGTTTTTGTAAAAATAAAATTCTTCGATTGTTTCCCCAATCATAATGGAAGAAAAAGAAAAAAATCTGTGATTTTTTTAAGTACGAAAATATGGAAAAGAATTGTTTATTCAAGAGAAATTTCTTTCTTCTATACACCTCATCCATGTATATATCATTTGATTACATAACGATGTAAATTATTTGCTAATATGAACTCATTGTCTTTTCTAATAAAAAGAAAAGATCTAAAATACTTCAAAGTATACCAGTCTCGCTGATGATGTTCTTTTTTTTTCAAGATCGAAGGAATAATATGCAATCAATTTTTATATCGTTTAATTTATATAGGAGTAAATCATGTAATTTCCCATGACAGATTAAATACACACACAAAATTAAAAGTCATGAAACGATGTTGATAAAGCTTCGTTTTTATGAATTCTACAGAAGATGACGGTTTTCATGACTAGACATTAAAAAAAAAGTTGATTTGATATTCGCCTTAAAGAAAATGTAAAATTTAAATCCATTGTTTACAAAAGATATACAATTGTTATGAAGTATACTATTGCATAACTATTTCAAGTATTTTGTTAAATATAAAAGAGATTGTGCAAGCTATTGCTCTTTTTAAATATCATCTATTCGTAATTGTACTTTCTTCTTTTGAATTAAGTATAGTTCTCAAAGTTCAATTCATTTATATATATCAATCATAAAGTAGACACTGTTAAGTGGTTCAATTCAAAATTTCGATATACCTTTAATTTGTTCGGGTAACTTAACATGTTCGAAAGGTTGTCCATCGATATCCGTTGGTCGTATGTTTTGGAATCGTTTTTCCCAAAAAAGTTGTCTTGGTTTTGTTTTTTCACTTGGTTTTCCACCACTATTAGCATTTGCTGTTGTTAGATTATTTGAATTAATAACTTGTGGCTTAACTTCATCGCGCTGCGTAGGATAATAAGTAACTGGTTGCTTAAATATGGGTAATGTTTGTCTTAATGGGCATCGTAAAGATGTATCACTTTTAGAACCTGAAAAAAGTTGCATTAAAAGAATACTACTAGTTAAATCTCTACGACATTAAAATATGAAACATGATGTGTCTGTTGTTGCTAATTACAAGAGATTGCTTTATTATATCTATTTTGAAACACATTCCTTCACAAATCCTTTTATTGAATTATTCAAAAATCCAATACTACAGCAGTTTATATATTAGAACGAGACATTATTGATTTACAATCTTGCATCGTAAATCAACAACATTTTTTCGCGATCTGTGAACGATCTCTGGTTAGCATCTGTTAAGTTCTATGGACGAGGAGGCAGCAACGTGAACATTTGATGAAAAAATGAAAATGATATTATTTTAGTAATTTGAATAATGTCCATCGTATTTTGAGCGATGGCCAACATTTGATTTTAAAGGATTCATTCTAATTCTTTAAGATTTTGAGAAAATCCTAGACCTAAAAAAGAACCCAGTTTCTGTCATCTTAGACGAATGTATATTGTTTCCAATGAAAGTAGAAAGACTTATGAAGTAAATCGTGCAGATTCTAGTACTAGAGCTGTTGCTCTATCATTCTATTAGAAAATACTGTTCTAACGGTTTCCCAATCAGAAAAATATTCATGTTTTCTCAACTACCGCTTTTCTAAAATGTCATGATCAATATAGTCGGTACGCACACTTTAGCAAAGGTCTAAATTCAATCGAACTTTCAGAAAATGTTTCTCTCAGCATGACACGGTCACTCGGTCTGCATAAATGCTTCTGGATCTAGATGCATTTTTCTAAAAGAAAACCTTGTTTGTTTAGGGTTTTCCACGTTCTTTTGTTTCAGAAGTATTTTAACAGGAAGCTAAGGAAATATTTGGGATCAGCACAAAGATCTGCATCGAATACTGTGTCATCTGTTAATAATTTAAAATGAAAACCTTGTCGACAAAAGTTTATGGTAAGGATTCACCCATGCATTTTACCTTGCAAATCTTCTCAGATAAATTTCACTTTGTGGTCCTGTTGAACTTTTGAGTGCTGTAAATAAATACTTCTATGGGAAAAGATGCATTTTTGACAAAAAATAAGCCATGTCTACGTGTTCTATAGATATCGTTCATTCTGAGAAGTCCAAATTTTTACCTCTATACGTCAGTGCTAGTTTCAGATCGTGTTTCACAAAAGAAATTGAAATAACGAGCAAAAAAAACATCACTAACTTCGAACTGTTGGATTTCCTTCATGAGATGTTGGTCGTACGCCATTTACATGACTAACTTTCATTTTTTTTGAAAGATTTTGTTGTTGAGATGGTCGACTTAATTTTGGTGTATGAGTATTTAATAAACGATTTGGACTTGATAACATCGTTGATGATGACAATGAATTTGTAGTTCGATCTGTTGGATCATGCATTACAGATATATATATATATATTCTTTTTTTGCTAATGCTTAAGTTTAATCTAAAATTTGCATTAAATCAATACACACAAAGATTTTATTAAAAATTTTTTTTGTAAAGAGAAAAGCATTGAAAAAGATCGACATCATGAGTAAAAAAACATACGCATACATTTAAACATACATACTCACAGAATTGAATAATACGAAAATTTATGAAAACAGTGAAAAAATTTAGTTTTTAGCTTTCCTTTTTCTGTTTTTTTTTTGATCGTGACTAGTGATTAGACTTGATCAATTGATTCATCACGTTTATGTGAATTAATAGTTGTCTGCTTTGTTGAACGTTTTTTGGCTAATCTTTGACAATCACTTTCAGGCAGCAGCTCAACAATATCGTCATCCGATGATAAAGATATTGTACGACGTTTGTTATTTATATTTTCAGCTGGCGTTTGTAACGGTGAAGAGATTGATGATAATGATATTGATGATCGTTTTTTTCTTAAACGTGAATTATCATGATGATTATCTTCATCAGCTAAGAGTGAAGGTGTTGGTGATCCTTGAAGAAGTTGATCGACTGTATATTTTGTATCATTTGGTATTAGATTTTGATCATGATAACGACAGTAGATTTTTTCTATAATGCCATTTATACGTGTAGATTTTTCTTCAAATTGTTTATTAGTTAATTTATTTGGATTAACAGTTGAACGTCGACGATTCTCATGAGAATGATGTAGTTGAAGTTCTTTTTGATAAGGCTAAATAATATCAATGAAATTTTTTATATATTGAGAGAATACATCATTATGTCATAAGTTTTTTTTCTTATAAAGAAATACTTACGAAAGAGCTACATGAACTGTGACTCATCGTTTGAGCTCACAAAGAAGTCTTAATAAGAGTCGAATAAACTTAGAAAGATATAAATCCGTGGACTTGTGAAGCCAAGTTATGACTGTTTTACTGAATTTGGTATCCAATTTTAGGTATTACTGGAAAATCCAATATTAGGTTCGATCTGCAATTTTGTCCATTGATAGGTTTAATGACCCTTCGAATATCCTGAAAATTTTAGCCGAAAAGAATATTCGTTTATCAAGACATTGAAATTACAAGGTAGTTCGATTTTCTTGTGACATTTCTGTGACAACTGACAATTCGTTCGATATCCAATATCTGAATGAAAGAATACTCTTTTTGACTGAAACCTATAGGATATTTAACAGATCATTAGACCTATCTATCAGCTGAATTTTTGAATCAAAATTTCATTAATTGATTTTTCAATAAATACCCATAAAATGCGGCGAAAATTCATTAAAACGGTCATAAATCGACTTCGAAAGCTTATGGGCATAAAGTGCCTAAGGATTTTGCTAGTCATGCCTAGACCCCCTGGAAGATCTGATATGAGTCCAAACGGTGGAATACAATTGGAGTAATTCCCTCGTTATCAGAATTCAGCAGTTAGAGCTTCAAATGCTTTCATGATAAGATTAATATAACGAATAAAAAAGACATACCAAAAATAGCATAACCTTATCTTATTCGACATTTAAATTTATATTATGGAGGAAGAGAATTGATTGAGTTGTAAAAATAGGATTACTATTATGTGAGATAAAGATAATAATTCTTTGTATGTGATAGTTTTTCACAAATTTGCATATCTTTAAGTATCTAAGGATCATAAGTATATTTAACTTGGATATATAAATTTTGAACATGATAAAAATGTTTTCTAGAAATTTATTAGACTAAGCAAAATATTTGAAATGTTTTGAACGAAAGAAGAAATATCACACTTTTCATCTCATTGAAACATGAGATTTATAAAATCTACATGATTATTATTGGAAATTAAGACATTTTTCTTATAGAAAATTTCATATACAACTTCTTCGTTGTAAGAAAGAATAAAATTCTTTGAATGTTTAGGTAATAAAGTCGAATATCTTAATACAAACCTGATAATCTCGTTTAATTGACAATTTTTCAACATAATTATCAAAACAATAAGATTTTGTATTAGTTCCAAGATGTCTTGCTTTTAATAGACGTGTAAATGTTCTTGCTGACTTATCAACACGATATTCACATATGAATAAATCACTTGATAGTACTCGACTACTATTGTCACTTATTGGTTTACCTTTACAATAAGTTCCTATATCCATTACAAAACATGGACGAACAATTGAACTTATTGGTAAAGGATCATTCGATGATGGAAAACGAAATACTTCATTAGGAAAAAATTTTCTATTGGGTTCATGAAATGTTTCATTTGGACGTATATAATAATATCCAGATGCTTGTCCATTACCATAATCATCAATCCAAAGACGTTCAACAAATAGAATATCGTATTCAGGTGATGTTAATGATCTATCAATATTTTTTTCATCTTGTTTTGGTACAAAATAACTTTCATTTATACGTATTATAAAACCATCTGAACGTGTTAATGTTGAATATGAACTATGATTATCATCATATGTTTGTAATGGTGATAAAGTAGCCGCTATAATAACATTTGTTTTTAAACAAGCTGATGGATTATATTCACATGCTGGTTGACATTCAAAACAATAATATGGTCGACTTGAATCAACTATTGAAACACAGGCGACATGTTGCCATAACTTAAAAGCATAAATAAAATAAAATGTTTAATGAAATTTCATAAATAAAAGTATAGACTTGTTGTATTATTAGTTTTATGTAATTAAATTTAAGTTTCGAACTCATATACTTCTATTAAATAGTAAAAATAGAACTGATTAAGAGTACTGTACTGATTGTTTTTTGTTATTCGGAATGCACCAATTTTAAATCCAGTCTAATCGAAGAATAGAATTTGATGTGTCCCTACTTTTTATAGACATAGATTTGGGTGATCAATTGATTTTGAAAATCAGATAAATGAAAAAAATATTTATTTATTGGTTAGAAAACTATAGTTTTATTAAGAATCTTTACTAACATTGAAGCATCAATAAATGTTAAATTTTTCGTTCTGTTAAAATTGAAAATATTGTTTTTATTCTAACAAGGTAAAATTTTCAACAGGAACATTCTTTTAACTATACTTAAAAGACTCAACAAGTCGCAAGATTTTATTGTTTTTTAATCCTATATTATTCAAGTATGTTGCGAACAAAAAAAAATGATCAAGAATTTTTCTTTATGTCTCTTACTTCGACATCGTATAAATAATAACACATACAAGGTTCAACGTTTGACTTTAGTTCTCTTAGTCATATAGAAATTTACTCATAGCCAACATATTAAACTAATACATTCGCAGCGATGTCACCCACTGCTAGTCAGACATAAAAATTGACGATTCTTTGAAAATTTATTCCTCTTTCAAATTCTATCAAGCCATCTGTGCTAATCATTTTAGTTAATAACAATTTAATTTGACTAATAAATGACGATACTAACGTCAAAATTCAGAATAATTTCAAATAAATCTGTCGCTAGAGTAATAGTATGTGTCAGCATTTTTGACCTTAACATCGTCATTGATTTAGTAAATTAAATTTTTTTTGCATTGAAATATCCATAGACGTATCTAATTATAGTCATAAAATTTGAAAATATTCCATGATTCTCTATCACATTATCATTCTATGAATCATCTATCATACGTCTAAATCTCGTCTTCGATGAACTTTTATTTCTCTTTGTTTTTAATCTATACATATAAAATAAAAAACATTTTCAACAATTCTATAGAATCTCATCCTCTTCAGTGTGTTAAATAGTATCTGACTATTAGAAACACTATCACATACCTTGCGGAGTAAGAATATGTAATAGATATTATTATCCAGCAAGTTCTATTCAAGAATCTTTTTTCTGTATTATACTTTAGAATGTATTTCTATAATCAAAGATATAAGGTTTTGAATCAAATTAGACTACTTGAAAAGGAACATTTGTTATAAACTCATTAAATACTTCATAGATAAATTTATTATTCGTAGTCTTACTTGACAAGCATAACATTGCACAAGTGAATTCTCATCATAAACTGATCCACATCGACAATGTACAATACAATCGGATGATGGTTTTGATTTTGATGTTCGATGTGAATTAACACTACCAGCAAGTACTATTTTATAAACAATCGGTGAATCATCATCTGGATTATCATCAATATTATAAATAATATCATAAAGAAGTTGTCTTATTTGTCCATACATAACTTCTTTTTCATGTAGACGTCCGATAAAATTTTCAAGTGTATGTAAATTATTTATATTTTGTTCTTTGTCTTTCACATTAATAAATAATTTTAATATATTTCTATATTCAATTTTTATTGTATTCTGAAAATAACTTTGTAATTCTGATACAACTTCTGCTTCATCTGAATCTTCACCACAATATGTCTACAATAACAAAAATAAAAATATAGTTTTTGTTAAAGAATTTCTTTATAGATTTTGACTTACGATTGCATTTTTAAATAATAATAATAAATCGTGTTCAAAGATTTGAAATGATGAATATTCTCCATTATCTAATTTATTTCTTATCATTATTAAATCAATTGGTTTTGTTATTATTTCATAATATGCTGGAAATAAACGTTTTGATGGACATTTTTTTAATACTTTTGATGGTGTGATATTTTCATTTATACACTTATAGTATGATATTAATTCAAATATTTCATTTAAAATAAGTGTTAATTGTGCTAATTGTGCATAATAACATGTTTGATCAATAAGTTCATAATGATGTCGACCAGTTTTTGCAAAATGTGAACGACGAATATGATTATAAAATAGGTAAAACATGTCTAAACATATACAATTGTACTTTAATATGGATGAAAAATTCATATTTGATGATTTATTCGATGTCATAAATTTGGTTTCTAATAAGATACGTTACTATGAAGTTATTGATCATCGGTTTCTTTTTTTTTTTTGAACTATAACACATTCTCTTCATAATGAAGTTTGTACAATTCAGAAGACTGATGTTCAAACATTCATTGGCCTTAGCAACAATAATTAAAGTTGAATTCGTATTTAAAAATTGAATTGATCAAAAGTCGATCTTTTTTCACGAATGAGCCCTCTTCAATTCTTAGAAATTTAGAATGGTAGTTCATCGTACCAATTCTCCTAATTATCATGAACTGATACTAGAAGTTTATAGACATTGAATAGTGATCAATTTTCATATTGAAAAAAGACTGTCGCTGAACTATACTAAAATATTCCGTTGTCTATCAATGCTTTTGATGTGATCAAAAAAATTTCAAATTGAAGTACTGAAAAGCTTCCATCAATGAAAGTTTTTTATGCCATTGGACACAGTAGTTCATGAACTACAGGCAAAAATACATTGAAATGTAGCAGCGCTTGTTATCGTTTTTAAATAAGCTCAGTCAGTAAAATTTTTGAATGTGGGCGTATTTATCTTTCTCTAGTGTTGATATACGGCAGCAAGCGCTGAATGACAATATTTTTTTCAATTAAAATTTTGTTTTGTTTGCTTTAAGAAAACAAGATTTCCTAACTGAAGGTTTTATTTAAAGCGATTATAAAGTTTAGAAGACTTGATGTTATTTCACATGGATTTTATGAATTGCTCGCAGGTATGTAGCAAAAGAAAAGAAATGTGGCGAAATGGGGTGGAAAAGAAATTTTTTAAGAGATGAAATGGCGCACATGCAATTTTGTCTGAAGTTGAATGGCGCTAACTCTCATGCGCGTCAAGGTCATCTGTCTAAGTATGCACCCAAACATGATAACAGGAATTGAATACTTCAAATTCTTCTCATTGATTATGAACTATATTAATAGACTTTATAGAAGGAATGTCTGGCTTGGAAAATCAAACGAACAGTAAACCATTCAGTTTAATAAGAGAATTGAAAGAAACTTGAAAAACGTTCCAAACTTATTGTGTTTAAATTTTCTGATTAATTCTAACATTGTCGAAATCTCTCTTTTGATATTCTATAGTATTATGTGCCTTATTTCATTTTCCTACTGACAGAACAACGTTGTGTCACGTAATTCAGTAGATAAGGACATTTTCTTTATTTAGGCAAAAATGATCCAGACGGTTCTGTTACATACCTATGGTTACCGATGGGATCACCGTATCTAGACCTGTTTTTTTCCTTTCATAGACTGTAACTGTTATGAGTGGAATCTTCTCAAGTTCTATTATCTTCTTATAAGACATCGCTGATTTTTAGCATCTAATCAAACCATTCACACTTTAATTACTATATTGTTAATAAATCATAATGTACTTCTATCTAAAGATACATGAAATTATTCTAGAGTAATAAATTGAATGATTAAGATATGAAAGTATTCTAATTAATCATTACTTCTTTTTTTGTTGTTTACCTTTATGAGCTAGTTTAGGAGTTTTTCTTAAACTAGCTAATGTTGATTTATTATTTAATGAATTTGAATGATAATAATTTTGTGCAAAGAAAAGTGGTATGATAGATTGTTTATCATTTAGCTGTTGTTTTAATTTATTATTAATTTTTTTTCTTAATTCTTGTTTTTCTTTTATTCGTCTTAAATTACGTAAAAGAAAAATCGATGATTGTAAAATCATTCGTTTTTCACGTTGTGTTAATTTTTGTATTGTTGTTATTGATGTATTATTTGTCGTTGTTGTTGTTAATGTTGGTTGTTGTTTTGTACCTACTGTTCCTCGACATTTTGAACTTTCACAATAACATGGTTGTTGAGCTTGTAAATTAAAACATTGAAAATTATAATCATATGTTAATTCTTCACCAGCTTTTATTGGACGTAATGAAAACATACACATACGTTGTAAACCATCAACAGTCCATTTTTGAAATTCACAATTCGGTGAACATGAATGATTAGCAAAACGTGCTATACTACCCATACGATAGGCATCAATAACTAAATTTTGTGTTAATTTCATTGTATAATGATGTTCATCCTTGGAATATACATTTGCCATACGTTCATGAAATTTTTCTTCGGTTATTATTTCACCAACATATTCACATATAAATGTACCTTTTGATATAGATGCTGTTGTACGTAAACCTTGACCATATTTACTTGTATCGAATACTTCAAGATGTTTAAACCATTGATTTTTACGAATTTTTTGATTACTACATTTAATACCTGAAAATAAAACAAATTTTTAATTATAAAATTTATTTCGTGTTTTGTGAAGTTTTTTTTTTCTTGTATTCCTTTTAAATATTTATCAGAAAAGAGACACTAGCTATTGAATATGAATTATTTGAAGATTAAATTAAAAGAACAAAAGTATCGAAAATATTCAGGTTAAATTTAAAAGGTTTCATCGATAAACTAATAAATTTCAAATATGTGCTGTTAAAGACATGCACGAAATGAGATATTTGAATTTATAGTGTATGTAATGTATCAACAATTCAACATTTTATTATTTTTTCTGTTTTCATCATATTTCCATAAAGGTTATCGAGTTACATAAGAAAATATACGTTTCATATACAGAGAAAGCATTTGAAAACGATAATTTTTCAATAGAAGAAGAAATAAATACGAAATTCAGATTTTCATCAAATATCTTTTTCTTACATAATTCGACGATCTCTATCAAACTATGATGATAAGAGAAAAAAAACTAAATCCTACTAATCTCTTGAATTTTTGTCACTTTACATACACTGTATTAATGAATTAAAAAAACAACATACCACAAGTGCAATGAGAAAGACATTCTGTAAATATCATTCGGTTAAGACATACACCCTCTTCACATGTTCCTGATGGTTTACAATCGCAAACAGGTGCTTTTTCTACACTATAAGATGATAAAAGACTTTGTCGTAATTGATCTGTATAAACATTGCGTAAAATTTTTTTATAAGGTAATGGTTGTTTTTGTTTTGGTTTATTAGATTTTTTTTTTGTATGTTGAAACGTTGATATTGATGAAGATGTTAAAGAAGGTATCGAGTTGATTACTGTTGTTTCTTTTGCTTGTTGTTGACCAAACCAATAAATGTCATAGGGAAGATGATAATCAATATATGATGATTTATCGTCATCAGATTCAAATATTCCTGTATAAAATGGTGGTAATGAACCTGATGATTGTCGTCGTCGAATTTCAGAACGATTTTTATTACTAAAAAAAACATAAAGAGAAATGTTTGTTGTTTTTTTTCTGTATTTTCATAAAAGAAAAATAATATATGAACCTAGTAGACTTAGAATTAGTATTCGTTGTTGTTTTATAATAATTTGAACGAAGACCATTTTTAATATAACATTGTTGTGGTAATTCAGAAGGTACCAAATCTTCATCACTAAAATACACAATATGTATATATTGATATACTAAATCTATATCAATTTTATTAATAAGATAAGGCAACAGTGATTTAGAAACATTTTTTGGAAGTACATCAACCATGATCATTATAATTCATATTTTTTTTAATGCTCTTTTACCTTTGAAAAGCATAGTTAAGTATAAATGATAGAAGTTTTTTTTCTTTACAATAATTATGCACATATAAAAACAGCTATTAACACTAATAAATAATCAATTATTCAGTTTTCTAATTAACTTATGTCTTACTTTTGTTGTACTGATAAGTTTACTAATACCTATTGAATCAATTCGTTTTATTTATAACCATCTAAAATAATTTCAATAGTATATAATCCTCTAAGAAATTAAGAGTATTCTAATCTATGCTTCTTATCAATGTTTTTAATATTTGTCCTCGTTGATCATTCTTGATTTTTGCACTTCTTCAACTCCTCTAATTCGATATGTGTATTTTTCATAGTCAGTTATCTATTATGAAAGCATAGAAAATTGATTATAACTATAAATGAATTATTAGATCACAACATATTGAATTTCTTCTTATTTATTTTATTTTCTTTCATCCATAGTTATTACTAAAGGTTTAATTTTTCTTTATGAATTGCCTGTTATCTACGTCATTAAATAATAAATTTGATGCACATATGGCTCTATTGATTTTTTTAATATGATACTTTCTAGTAGTCATTGAAATATAATATTAAAATATATAAAGGATGTTTTTTTTTCCTACAAACTTCCATGTACTCAATAGAAATGAATATATCGACAAATAAAATCAAAAAGAAATAAAAATTTTCTCAAAAAAATATATTTTAAATAGAATACCTTTCCGAATCTGATATATCTTCAATTTGATTAATTATTTCTGGAGATGGTGATGATACAATTCTTTTCTTTTTTCGTTCTGTAACATGTGTATTTACTGTAGTTGATGATTTACGTTTTCGATTCGTTGTATGTAAATCTTTCTCATTTTCACTTAATGACAATGATGGTAATGGAATTTTAGCTGGTGTTAAAACAACAACTGATTTTCTAATTCTCCATGACGATAATTCGTTAATATTCTCATTCATATGACATTGGTTCTGGTTCACTGATAAAGATTTATTATCTGTATTTGATGTTTTCGTTTTTCGTTCATTTGTTGATGCTGTCACTATAGGTAGTTGTTGAATAACATTTGAATCACGTCGTGTTGCTGATGGTGGAGATTTAAGTGTAATTGTTATTGAATCATCCAGTAAATTTGGTGATTCAGGCATTTCTTTAATATCTATAACATCACTATGTGTAGTTATTAATTGTTGTGTATTTGGAAATTTTGATTTTGTACCAAATTGATAACCATATTCAATAGCTTTATAAAAATGTGGATAATAAGTACGTGCAAGAATATCTTTCATACGTTCAAAAGTGTGAACTGGTGACTTTGTTGATGTTATGATTGTTGACGATGATGATGATGATGGAATATCTGATGGTGATATTTGTGTTTTAGGATTTAATTGTAAAATATGAAAAAAATTTTTTGGTGTATGTCGATGTGTTGATGATGGATTTCTTCGATTAACATTCCAATCTATTTTAAAAGAAATTGCTGTGGGTGAACTTATCGCAGATAATGGTTGTGGTTTATAATTATCTTTTTTATTCGAAGATTTTTCTGATGATAATTTTTTTCGAAATGTTTTTACAAAATATAATTTTAAAATTTTATTCCATACATTATAACGTGTTGTATATATATGTCGTGTTGGTGATAATGATCTTTTATCAATATATAAACATGTATTAAAATGCAATGATAATGTTTCTATATCAGAATAATTTAAAAAACGAATATCACGTATTTCATCTTGAAAATGACCAGGTAAGGATTGAAGATCAGTTGCTAAAGGAATAATGGAATCTTTTGCTGATGGAATTGATAATGTATCAATAGATTTTGTTTTATGTTTACGTATATCAATAAGTGGCATATCGTCATCGTCAGATATATCTTCAGTTATTGGAGTTGACATTTCAATAGATTTTGCTATTGATGATGTTGGCTTAGATTTATTTGATTTACGAATAATAATCTTTTTTGAACGTGTTTCAGAACATTTAGAATCTAAATTAAAGATTTTTATTTTAGCAATGAAGTGTTTCATTAACTCTTTTAGAATTATAGTTCGATAATGATGGAAAAAAAATATGAATTTGTATACTAATGTCTATTTCAGACTCGAAAGATTAGTATGTTTTTTAAGAACTCTCGATCGACTAATGCTATTAATCATACAAAATTACATCAAAAGACTAGTTTGAATCATTCTTTATGTATTGTAAAGCTTTAAGAGCTTGAAGAAGTCATTGAAACAAGCATCATGATCGTTGAAGTCTTAAATTGAAATTATTTCAAATTTATAAAAGTATCAAGAAACTTCAACTAATTACTCAATATACTGTTTTATTTTAAATGAAATTTTGTATTTTCAAACCTGTTGATGTTGGTGATGATGCTGCAGTAGTTGGTGATTCGAGTTCAATCAAAGGTATACTTTCTCTTATTATTCTTGATGTTAATTCAAGTTCTACAGAAGGTATATCTTCTATTATTTGTCCTGGTGTTGATGCTAAACTTATGATAGATGGGGAATTAAATATATTTGGTGGTGAATCTATTGTATTTAACGTAATTATTCTTTCAGGTGATTTTAATGAATGACCATTTGTATTTGTTGATAATAAAGATTTTTGAAATGAATTTTGTTGCCTTGATAATGTATCTCTAATGAGATTAGTATTTAGATTACTGTTCGGTAATGATTTCATTTGTTCATTGGATTGTGAACCTGATTTACGTATTGTTTCCATTAATTTAAACCAACCTTGCATTTTCCCACTTGAATCAACATTAGTTAATGATGATGATGATGATGATGATGATGGTTTTGATTCATTCTATTTATGAAATAGATTAGAAAAGAAAAAAATAAAATAAATTTTTTACTATTTGTTGATTTTCTGTTGTCATTATGGTCGAGGTTCATCTAAAAAAATAGTTTGTCAAATTTTATGAAATAAAACCGACAGACGTTTACAAGTCATGTGTATATGTTGACAAGGAGGACGAAACGGACATTCAACTAGAAGTTTAAATGTTTCATTTTTTTTCTTCCTTTCTTTCTGTCTTTCTTTCGTCTCTTTCATTGATTACCTGTTTATTCAACTCAATTTAGTTTTTTTTTCCTTTGCGTACTATATAATTCTATTGGCAAGATGAATCACTACTGAAATATGGTATCTCTCTTTCGTTTTGTTCTTTCGTTCGTTTTCACTTTCTTTCTCTATAAATTTTGATTGTCTAAAGATATATATATAGGATAGCCAATCAACCATCCATGACTGGAACTATAACATTGTTTTGTGTTTCAGGTATTTTAGTATAGACTATTGCAGTCATAATAATTGCTCTAGTCTACAATGTAAAGAATATAAATATTGATTTACATATTTATTATTTTAATAGATGTCTCTAGCCAGCAATTATACATTTGATTACGACGACAACTTGAAAGCTTTCAGTTTTAAAATAGATGCTATTCTAAGAAAAAGAAACAAACTTTTTTGAGTTACTGTAACAATCAATTTGGCCTTTTTATTGAAAAATTTACTCAAATAGCTAAAAGTACACTGTATAAACATACAGAGATGTCCCGAAGTAGAGTTTGGCAGTTCAAAAAATTACCCGAAACAAGAAGCGTGACGCCAGTTACGAAAATTGAGAAAAAACGGCTCTGGTTTGTCTTTTAAAATATGTCGTGAGACTAAAGCCATTCAGTCATCAGACAGATACGAAAATTTTAAATCTATCTTGAAAAACTTGCAATATTGAATTGCTGAGAGAGAACAATGGGAGAAAAAAGCAGACTTTGGCATCTCCGATCTCTAAATTCTCTCAAAATCTTTTGAAATCTTTAAATCACTTAAAATCGCTGTCAATCACTTCGAAATCTTTTAACAATATGTTGCTTACTGAGTGTAGAGAAAATTTTGAGCTACAATAACTTTTTAGCGATTTCAGTTAAATAAAATCTACGTACTCTAATAAATCTTGACTTGAAAACGAAATCTAGCCGCATTTAATGGATTTTGCAATGTCAATTATGAATAAAAGATGTAAAAAAAAAAGGTTTCGATTCTTTCACACAAGATTCTTTTCTGATATGTTACAGAAGTAGAAGAGGTCGATATTCACAGTATATACGTTGGACGTCTAGAGCTACTATATGCTAGAATTTCAGTTTTTTAATTATTGTTATCCCAAAGATACAACTAAAGTATAATTTACAAGAAATCACATAAAATCTTCCGAAATATTTCAAACCACTAATAATCTTTAATTCTTATTTTTTTTTCCTTTGGATTGAACATACCACATATTTCAATACTTAAAACAATACTATACATATGTACTGAAATCTTTAATCTAAAGAATGAAGTGAAGATTTCTTGACATAGATTTAAGAATTTTTACATCTGTTTGATGGTTTAACAGTTATTCCAGTATTTTTCAAACTCTCGAATTTTATTAGAGGGACACTCTTGTAATAATATTTGAAAGTATTGAAACTGACGTTCTGAAATATTTGATAAAACTATTTTGTACGCGTGTATGAGAGAGAAAGAAAGAAGTTTTTCAGTCAATATACGAGGTTATGAAGCATGCTTTTTTTTCAGCAAAGAAACTATGGTAACATGAGTCAATAGTCAAACGTAGAGTGCCTTAAATAGAAATGCAAAATCTACCAAAGTTTTCCTCCAACACAAAGAAAAAATGCAAAAATGTGTCCGACTCTTTACCATGCACGAGTCAAAATAATTCTTCTCATGCACAGTAATAGTTAACATTCCACTTCTTTACAAACAAAGTGCTCTTTAATTGTCATTGTTCTCTAAAACAAATATTTTTATAGACACTATATAATATAGGTGTAAAAAGTTTATCGAAAAGAAATCAAGTGTAATATAGCAATGAACTGAAGAAAATCAAGAAACGTCTATACCTATTTTAAAGGTCGACGATTTCAGCTAGGAAAGAAGAAAACAAACTGGTTCCAATTTCGATTCTTAAACAATATATTTGAAGTGGATGATCTGCTAGTAGGAAAGCAGATGACTGATACAATAATTTTTTTTTAGAAGTTTCTACGTTATATTTCATTTTTCGAGATTGTTAATGTCTATTATTTTTTTTGAACATGTAGTTTCTTTAAAACATAACAAAACAAAGAGAAAATTATGATTATTAATCAGTTGTATAATCGTTTCATTAATAAAGAATTATGTTGAGCTGAAACTTTGTGCAAACGTTGGGGCTTCTTTATTTGGTTTTTACTGTTGCTAGGCTTGAGACAAACATTAAGCAAAAAAGGTTCGTAATGAAGCTGAGAAATTTTATGCTAAAAGCCAAATTTCGATAAAACTTTGTTCAAAGAAAAGCATTTTTTTCTTGACTGAAGATCATTTTTTAAAAACATGAGCTTTCAACCAAACAAAAATATTTGAGTTTATCGCTTACTTTGATTGAATATTAAATCATCTTTTATAGAAAAAACCTCGCTTTAAAAAAGACATGGCTCGAAGCGATAAGGATTATAAAAGCACACATCGAAGTATATGACTACGCCTTTTCAAAAAAAAAGGAGTTTTTTGATAGCGCTAGATTTTTTCAGTAGCAGTATTTATACTTTTTTTGCTATTTTTCACGTCTCTTTCCGTTCCTTTCTGAGAAAAGCATATAGTTCACTGCTGATGCAGATGTAGGTTGAACTCATCGTCTTTCGACTACACTATTTGAACATCCCCTCCAGCTATCAGTAATAAATTGTTAATTCCGGTTTCGACCGCGTCCTCTTTTATTTTATAGCTCTAGGTTAGAGAAAATGAAAAATTTCTAGTTCCGATACGACTCTCAGTTTCTTTTTTTTGTTTTTTTGAAAGCGCCACGCCCTAAATTCTTGTGAGACAAATCTCACAATTGATAGAATCCATATTTAACGAAAGCAGGCTGTCGTATATTTTATCCAAACCAAAACTGCTCCATGAAATAGAACAACAAACATATCACAAACACTAAGAGAGATCATGAATGCAGAACTAAACTACTCACAGAGACTAATGTTGAATATATATAGAGAGATGAAAACATATGTAACAATTGCTCAAGGGAAACTTTGATTTCTTCTATGAAAATGAAATTTTTCCTGTAGAGTTATTCAAATGATGTTTAAAAAAAAATTTGAAGTTTTTCTTCAAGGAAATTTTTATTTTTTCTATTGAATCTAGTAAAATTTTCTCACTGAACAGTTTATCACATATTCCATCCTAAGTCAAACTCTATGTTTTCTCTTCATGTTTTCAGAATTTTCCTTGAGACATTTACTTTCTCTGGCATTACTACTATATCCTTAGCTTTAATATGCACGAGTGTATACAATTTGGAAAAAAATATTACTGTAAAGTAAACTCACTGAAATTTATTATTACTAAAAATTCATCAAACCAGTATTGCTTTATTTGAGAAAAAAATCCTTCACGTTTCTTGCAATAATTTGTTATTCTAAATCTATACTTATTGATTTAGTTTACGGATGTAAAAATTTCAACGAATGTGAATACGATTTGAGTTGTAAACAAGACTCTCTTGAATCGTACACAAATGATTTTTGAGTATCAATTCACTGATCTATTATTTGAAGAATAAAACGGTTAGTATGGACAGTTATTTTAAATACACTTAAACATGATTTACATTTGTTCCATATTAGTTTCATAAGCTTTAACATTATCGGGCTTAAATTTATTAGGTTTTTTCTCAAAAAAAATATATGAAGACACTTATATCAGAATACTAGCAATGTTACAATAGAATGTTGTATAGACTGACAAGAATATGTTTAAAAACGAAGTTTTTGATCGCACCTGTCCAAAGATGTGTGCAACTAACTTTGGGCGAAAATTCGAAGACTTGCCGAGACTAAATCAAAACCACGAAATAAAAGTTGCTCGCATCTAAATTGATGGTTACAATTGAATTTTCTATGGGTTTGTGCACATAAAGTAAATTCAGCAGGATCTGAATCAAGGTCAAAAACATCTTAGTCTTCACATTTTTGGTTTACCTGATGCAGAAAAAAACATGATCGATGTAATTTAATCAAAATTGTAGAACTATGTGATCCTATAATCAATCTGCCTCTCTACCATAAGAAGATCGTTCGTATCAGAAGATCCTGAAAGAGTGATATGTTGCACATAATAAATGAAGAGAGATCTTCGATTAAATACGAGTAAGTTATTATGCATATGAATTTGTTTATGCACACATTTTGTCTTTTACTAATACGACATTATTCGATTATACTTTTAGTTCGCGTGTCACATATCGATTTGAATAAAAAGGATTAATGTTCATCTATATAAGCAAGCCATTTGAGCTCAAAAATTGACTATAACTCTCATTTCTTGTAGAGAACTTGGAACTGTGGTGATGTGACGTTAAAATGAGTGTGGGAGTAAGCATACATTCATTAATGCAAAATATTATTTTGATGATGTTATTCTGTAATACTTAATTAATCAGGTCGTTTTTTTGTGTGTTTCTTATATCTTAAAATTTGATAATCACATAAGCTTCCGTCTGTTAATATCAGATTACGTTTGAAATATATTTTTATTATAAAATTATAAACATTTTGTGCAAATATAATTGAACAATTACTAATATGGAAATTACGAGATTGACTATCGTACCCGAATTAGTTTTTTTTTAAACCTTTGTGACATCATTGGAATGTCTTTCTATTACTGAAGTATTTTAAATAAACAGTAACTTTTCTTCGTACTTTCAAAATGGCTCATTATATCAAAGCAATACTGATATCAAAGATTCAATTAATCATTTTCTTGTGTAACTGGTATATCGATTGGAAAGTGTAAACTGCTTTCTGCCTGTCTGTGCCTATAATAGACGCTCGATGAATTTGCTTGGATCAAAATTTAGGGAAAAAAAACCCTTTTTCTTCTGAATAAGGATATTTACAATAAATTTGATGAACTAATTGAAGAAAATATGTCCAGCCATCTCATATTATAATAACAATGAGTAATTTATCAAAAAAGGTAAGTAAACTAAATTTTAAAAAAACTAAATGAACGATTGATAATATATTGTCAATCTATGATGATTCATAACAGCATCTGTTGAAATTGATTTTAAGAAAAACCATTTCTCATTTTTCTATAGCGAAAATATTCTACTAGATATTTTGATATCGATACTGTCTGCTAAGAAATTGAATATTGCAAATATTCTTCATTTATCTACATAAATTGTTCACTTTTCTATTTTACCAAACAAATAAAATTTAACAGAAAATTTCATACAAGATATACTGCTGTCAATTTTAAAAAGGTCTCTTAAATCTATGTCACAAAGTTACGAAATCAAGAGAAGTGATACAATTTGTTTCTATTGCACCAAAAAACGTAATAAACAAAGATAATAAATATTTTATAGTTTATCTAGTAAAATGTGTGTCATATATCATTGAGTAAGTGTTCACTTGACAAGGTACAAACATGAATCAATCCAGAATTTTTAGAATACAATGTTAGCAAGATTATTAACTATTCGTAAGCCAAATATTTTACTCATTGACCTTTTGCATTAAAATCATTTTCAACGATGAGTATAACTCATTGGATTAATTTAAATATTGAATTTAACCAGCATATGTGTTTGTCGATTCTTCCACTAACTTTTGGTTTTATTACAAATATTTTGATTGTTATCCGACGTTCATTTCTTAAAAAATAAATGTGCATCATATTGTTTTTAATTACTACAATGGTTCATTTGAATACACTTCTCTTTGACTTGTTATTACTTGATTTTGTTGATGATTTGCATGTTGATTTTATTTCTAATAACTTATAGTTTTGTCATTTTTCTTAATTATTACACGTTACAGTACTCCTTTGTGATATGCACCATTGCACTAACTAGTTGCACAAGCATAAACTACCGATCGAATTGGACATAGAAAAAGAAAAAAATTTTCGTTTGATACGAACCTTCATAATTGATTGAAGTAGCCAGAAGAATGATAAAAAAAATATCGAATGAACTTAATGGTGTCGTTTTATTGTTCACTTCAATCATTCAACAATGTCAGTAGATTAATGACAAAACACCAACAAATGTTATCACGTATTTAGTTTTACATGGGGTCTATATCTTGTCATCTCAATCAAATATAAAATTTTTTGTCGAATGAAGTTTTTTTTATCTTTTCTATTGTCAATTAGATCAGCAATGAATATAGTATAGAAGTAACAATCTTACATTAATGCATAATTTTCACAGCATGATTTACTATTTTAAATGGTATTGATTGCATAAGGTAAATAACCATTACACTCCACTTCTCTTCTCTGCATGACTTCTTTCTTCATGTTGATTTTGACTATATGTATCACACTTTCTCTTGTGTTATATGATAATCATATATGAGTGGAGTCTATAATGTTATAAGTGCGACTTCAATGTGAAGCAATTCAATACACGTCATCACTAAGGATAACCGTATAGTTACTCTTCCAGTTCGTCACATCCACGGCTATTATGCTTAATGTCACAAATATCAGCGTCGCCGATGAATTGAATTAAGAGTCTGATAGTGAGTCTTCACTTTACCCACATCCCCACTCTTACTTGTAACTCTCTACCTTTTTTTATAAGATTCATTAGACATGTACACTATTTAATTCAATGACAATACTTACAAAAAATACGAAGGAATGAGCTGAAAGTTTCCAGACAAAACATATGACTACTTTCGCTTATAGAAATGCATTAGAAAACAGTGAATTAAAATTCGAATTTGTACTATTTCAGAGTACAGTGTCTAATACACTATATAGTTCTCACCTTTTGCAATATATTTAAATACACGAAAAATAGTCAAAAAACTTTATTGAACATTTATACATGACACATCAAATCTTAAAATTATTGTATTCATCTTTAGTATTTATAGTCGTATGTTGTGAGAGATATTGTATGTACCTGTGTTCACAATTCATTTTGTTTTAAGCAAGAACAGCAATAAAAACAACAACCAAAGATGGTTGTAGTAATTAACATGCGTGATCACACAATATATTACAGAAAAAAAAAAAGATCATACAAAAAAAGCAGAAGAAATTGGTACCACCAAACAATCAATCTTTTGTAGGACAAAAAGGAAGGAGAGCACACGTACATTTATAAAGAGAAATATAACTAATAAACAAATATTGTAATATAATTAATTAAAAAAATTATTTATCCTCTTGTTTTTCTTTTAGAATGTTTTTGATTTGAATCATTATCTTGAAATCTTTAAAAGAAAAAAAATAAAACTAAATAAAAAAAAAAAACACTTCTTTTTATTCAGTTTACCTTCTAGAATGTGATTGTTTATCTTCAGAAGTTTCATCTTCAGAAGAAGACGATGAAGCTGATTTTTGTTCCGACGTCGAAGCAATTGCATCAGACCCTGAACGAGATCTTTGAAATAAAAAAATAATATTATCATTCAAAAAAAAAACAAATAAACAAAAAAATTCTTACCGTTTCTTAGTCCGATTTGATGATGGTGGTGTTTGTGGACCACGTTCACGTTGCTCTTGAGCAGAAGACGATGATGATGATGAAGTTCGACGTTTACGTTTTCTTTCTCGACTAGACCGATTTTTACGTGATGTTGAACTTCTAAAAAAAATTGAACATCACGATTCATTTAATTTTTTGATATAAGTTATTCATAAAAAGAAAAAAACATATATATATATACAGTTGATCGGTCAAAACCAACCTTTATATATTATCCATTATTTTTTATCGAAGAACTGTTTCTGTTTTGAAAGAGAAAGAAATTTAGTCGATCGTCGAAATTAGATTTTTCTTCAACGAGAGACGAAACGATGATAATATAATGATCATCAGAAAAGAAGTGATATAGTGCAATTAGCAGTACGATGTATAAATCGATCGTGATTATTATCGATGACAAAAAAGAGAGAGGCAACAATAGACGAACTTCGTACCTGCGTCCACTACGACTACGACTTCGTCGTGTTCGTCTATGAGACGTTACTGTTGGATAACGATGAAGACCAGATGATGAATACATATTTCGATAGGCATGCGATGATGATGATGGTGGAGGTGGTGGTGATGATGTTGGAGGAAGAAAAGCTGGTGGTGGTAATCGTTGCATTAAATATGGATCTCCGTATGTTCGATAATAATTTGAATCTGTATAAACAGCTGAATGCTGAGGATAATATGGTGGATAGAAATCTTGTGTTCGTAAATGATTCATCGATGATAAACGAGCATTTTGTTTATATGATGGTGGTGTTAATGAACGACCACGAGATATAGTTGAACTAGACATCATTGTAGATGGTTGATATTGATAATAACTTTGACGTACAGATTGCATAGGTGGTAAACGATTTGCAGTTACCTTTTATTTTTTAAAACAAAAGAAAAACAAGGATTTATCGTTCAATTGTGAAATTTTTTTTTTTTGTTTATTATCAAACCTGTAAATGATTATACAACGTTGATGCTGGTGAACGTTCACGTGATAATGGACGTCGGCTATCGCGTGATATTCTATCCGATTTAGCATATTCAACACGTAGTCTAGAACCATTCACTGTTTTATTATTTGTATGTCGTAATGCACGTTGTGCATCATTTGATGATGTAAATTCCACAAACGCAAAACGTTTATTATCATCAATGTAAATTGTTAAAATTTCACCATATTTACTAAATAAACGATTTAAATCAGATTTACGATTATTACCAATATCACCAACAAATAATTTCGATGGTCCATGAGACGAACGCATCTAAAATGTTTTTTTTTATCAAAATTAATAATAGCAACAAAAAAATTTACATACAACTGTTATTGATCAACAGACAGAAATCTCAACAGCGATAGTAGCGCTTATTAATGAATATATCAATGGAGGTCGAAACCTATTCGAGACATTTATCGAATCATAATGGCGACATGAAATTACCATTTAGCATGGATTATTGTTTATTATACACTTCTTTTTTTTTCATTCCGAACTGTGTAATACATTTGAATTTTTTTTGTGTTTTAATTATTTTAGATAATGGCACCACCAAAAAAAGTTGCAGGAGTATGTTAAAAATGGAATCATTTATTTTAAGAATCTAGTTGATTTTTTTTTCCAATAGAAAAAACAAGCTGAGACAATTAATCAACGTCTCCAACTTGTTATGAAATCCGGTAAATATGTACTTGGTTATCGTCAAACATTGAAAGCTTTACGAAATGGACAAGCTAAATTAATTCTTGTTTCAGCTAATACACCACAAATTAGGTTCAATTTATCTTCTACTGTTTAAATAAATATTTTTGTTTGTTTTTTTTTTTGTAATAGAAAAAGTGAAATTGAATATTATGCTATGTTAGCTAAAACTGGTGTACATCATTATAGTGGCAATAATATTGAATTAGGTACAGCTTGTGGCAAATATTTTCGTGTTGGTATTCTTGCTATAACTGATCCAGGTGATTCAGATATTATTAGAACTGTACCAGGCGAACAATCAACTGCTATTGCAACATCATAAGCATTGAAAAAAAGAAATTTTCGAACTTTTGTTTCGCTTGTTTTTGTTAACAAGAAAAAAAAAAGATAATAACAAGAAAAAAATCATTAATAAACAAAAAAGGAAAAAAAAACTTCTTTTGTATTCTATTAATCGATTTGATTTCGTTGAATTTGTTCTAGGATAGAAGAAAAGAAAGAACTTGATGAGATAAAAAACAAAACAATTCATTTACCTTTTTCTAGTTCGAAGAGACATAGTTCCACTAGAGAAATATTAAACAGTTTTAAAAGTCAAAATTTCGTTTTACTTACATTCTGCTATTCGTAAACGTTCATCTTTGTTTGGTTGAAGAATTTTTTTACTTTGTTCTAATGCTAAAAATAGATTCATAGTGATGACTTTAAAAATTATATGACTCTATACAATAGTAGAGAAGTAAATAAAGGAGTATTAATGAGTTAAAAGCGGAATCCTCCAATCTATAGATCAATTTTTAGTCGAGACTATGCAGATCCAATTGAGCTATGAAGATATTTCACATTTACGGTGGTTTTTTAATGATCAAAAAGAGAGATCCGTACGAGAATGGTATACTGTGAATGTTGCAGGTCTTTTCATTATTGCCATTCTAACATACAGTTATAGTAAAAAATTGCTTGTTAAATTGTTCATATTATACTAGTAGATTTGACGCTTTGGTTTCAGAACACTAGCAAATCAAAAGAATTGATATTTTCAATATGAACTATCCTCGTTAAGGCCTATCTCTATGCACAGTTTTTAGTCGAAATTCATAAATCACTTTTTCTGTTAATACAGCACTTATCTGAAAAATTCCATAAAATGCAGTATCTCACCAGCAATAAGTTAAGGAATTCTACTCTTTTCAGAATATTCATAACCTATTAGAATTCACATGGTGGACATAGTTTTGACTTAAAAGTGATTTATCATGTATTGACCTAGGGGAGTCTTATCCATTTCGAATAGTATTATTCTTTTCACTACGAAAGTTTTTATTTTTTTAATAAAAGCTTAACAATAAATGAAATTTAACTCGACAAAATAGTGAAGTATACATCTGAACTTCACTTGTTTCTACTTATTTTGAATATGTTCAGCATTTTAGAAATTGATGAAAAGATCTACATATGTATTCTTTGAAAACTTTGAAGTAATAGGAATATGTTTTGAATATTTAATGCTATTTTATACAATAGACATGAAGATAACTATGCCTTTTTTCAAACAAAATATCTGTCAAAATTTATTCAAGCTAAAATCAATGCAAATGTTTTGATATGCATATTTAGTACTAACCTTGAGATTTCACATCGATCTCTGTAAATAAATCAAATAATGAATCTATATTGAAAATATTATTTGTAATTCTTACGTGCTTGTAATTGTGTTTCACTAAGTTGTTTAGCTTTTGTACAAATATGTTCATATCGTCGAGCCACTATTTATAATATTTATTACATGCACTTGTTTTCAACGTACTTACATTGTTTATGAATTTGAGCTTTCCATGACGATGTCATGGGTTCAAACACTAAAGACAAAAAGGATTAGAAATAATATGACAAAAATAAAATCAATATACTATTCATTAGATTTGATAACAGTGGATGATTCCATGAAACAAATTTTTCTATGAAATTACAAAAGTTATATTACAAAATGAAAATTCGAATAAAACGAAAAGAACCTGTTTTTTCACTAAATTGAGTTGTTGTTGAGAGAAGTGCAGTTGATTGACTGATTGCTGATGGACGAACTTACAAATTTAATTTTTTTTTTAATAAGTAAATTATTGAATATTTGTTTATGTACCTGCATGCAATGTTGATATGGATGGTGAAATCGATGTTTCAGATATAATAGCATTTTTTATTACAGGTATAATAGGATCATACGAAAGCAAAGAAGGAAGAGTCGGTGACAATTGTTCATTTTCTAATTGATCGTTATTATTCAAAGGAAAATATTTTGATGATGATTTGTCAAGTGCTATGATAATTTATAATAAAACTTATTATTCGAAAAATGAAAGAATTTTCTTTTACCTTTATTGTATTCATAAACGTTAAGTTCAACTAAAATAATGTCAGTATTCTTTTGTTTTTCAATAAAGTAAGATCAGTTCTTACGTTCAGCCATTGCTATACATTCATCTTTAGTTAATGATTGAATAGGTATTTGACGTTTTTTAGTCAATGCTATATTTTTAAATAGAATTTAAATTGTATATTCTATGATTTAATTAATTTTTACCATCATGCTTATATTTTAATTTTATTTCAATATCATTCGACGACATTGTTTTTAATGTCTCATGAATATGTGTTAGTCTACGATTTAATTGTTTGAATAATTGAAAACGAGGAATGTCTTCAAGATTATAATCTACAACAAAAAGGAAAGTTTTCAAAATTTAGATAACTTTTTCATACGTTCATATAATTGATTCATTAATGGATGCTCAAACATAATTGTTGAATCAATATGAGAATTATCTTTTGTTATTTTGTTCGTCAATTGTTCGATAGATATTTTTGATTGTTGAAATCGAATAGGTGAAGCTAGAAGATTTTTTTCAATTTCATATTAATAAAGAATAGACACAAAAAATTTACTACTCGTCTCTTTGAAGTTTGATTGATTATTTAAAATCATCGATGCTGATGGAGCACTTGGAATTGGAAGAAGTCCTTGTAATAGATTTTTCTGTTTTTAAAATAATATCAAAAAAATTTTTACGTTCAAGTTTAGCATCCACCGATATACCACGATGAATTTCTAAATACAAAAAAGAAGCAGATAGGCACTTAATTATTTAATATAATCATACTAGGACGATTGATAAGTTCTGCATGAGCCGACTGAGTCAACGATACTCTTTTATTTAGATTTGTATTCCATAAATTTATTTCTACTACATGTTGAACAAAAAAGAATATAGAGAAATTAATTGTTCATGTCCTACGATTTTCTTTGGATTCACTTTTTTGATACGTAAGATCTGGTAGAATAAAAAATATAATTTTAAGTTTATTAATAATATCTACTTACTTGAATGACTATGTTTATTTTCTATTTGTAATGGTAAAATTTCAGCAACATATTCAAGATTATCCACTAAATATTAAATTACTTAGTATTCAGTATGTTAAGACCTCTATATTCCTCAAAAGTCGATCTCTAACTGTGTACATTCAAATTGTCTGATATCTTCAGAATCTGTTGAAGTTGTGATGAAAAGGCTATGGCAAAATATTCAACTCTATACCATGATGTTTTTGCAAGATATTTAACAAACAAGGGTCAGCAACAGCTCATTTGAGAATACATGATTCTCTGTAGGCCTTCATTCTACATACTTAATTTTCTTTTTTCTTGCAAAGATTATGTCAGGGTGTATTATGTGATAGAATCCTTGTTTTTTCTAATTCTTACGTTTTAAGGAAATAAACGTTCAATGTGTCACAAAATGGTGCTCTACCTATAAACATACTCTTTTATATAATAGTAATAAAGCTTAATGCAAAACAGAGACGATTTTTTGATGTTTCTGAAAGCAGCTGATTTTTCAAGTAGGTGATGACAAAAATCATTAAAGAGCTTTCGGAAAAAATGAGGTACCCAATAAAAAATTATGTTGTTTATGAAAGACTAGATTTCGAACTGTCTGCTCATGCATTTATCTTAATTTTGGTAAATATGACAAAAATTGACTTTTTTGAAAGGGACACTTTAACACATAAATCTCATACTTGGAAAAAGTTTATAAGAATTTGATGGTACTAAATATAAAACAAAAATTTTATAGTTTAAACTTTTGAATTCAAAGTTTTATTACCGAATGGTGAAGTGTCTTGATTGAATTCTAACAAACAATTGTCTTGTATAACCATTTAAAAATTTGTTAAAGAAAATTCTATACCTGATTTATATAAATGATCATCAAGTGTTAATGATGCTATGAAAATACTTTTTTCTTTATTCTCGAAAAATTCCACGAAACTACACTCACTATCTAGCTTAATAATTTTAGTCGATGTTGTTGAAAATGCTGCATTCATTGTTTGCTGTTGACGTGAATTATTACTATTAGATTTATTTTCTTAATTGAAAGAAAATTTCTTTAATATCTAATATCAATAAGAAAACTGCTTTGACATACTATGTAAATTATTATAGGATGATTTATCTGTTATAGATCCATCTTAGAATTAAAAATAGATTGTTTTATTTCGTTTCATTTTATGCAAAAACTACCTTCTTTCTGTTTTCTTTTTGATGAAGATTGTAAAAGAGTGCCTACGATTATGATTTCATAATATAAAAAGAAAGATCTTATAATTAAAAGAAAACCTGATCGACTTTGACGAACAGATGCTTCTCCACTTCCTAAATTATGTTTTGAACAGAAATAGAATAACTTTTTTTCAAGAGCTTTCTACCTAGTTGTTGTTCGAGTGCTTGTGAATAAACAATACGATACCATAGATCTCGAGGCATAGGTAACTTATTTTCAGGACAATTGATTGGACCACATGATCGAAAACAAGGAAATGATCTATAGAAATATTTTTGTGAATAATATTATTGTATACACAACTCACGACGGATAACACGGATAACCAGTAGTTGATGTAATATTATTATAATGAAAAGGTTGAGTAGATTTCTTTAATATTTTTACTTTTGTTTTGATTTTTGGAGAAATAAAATTTAATTTTGACTGTTTTATTTCTAAATAATGAATAGTATTCATTGCTTGTAGTTTTAGAATTTAATCAATCTCACTTGTAACTTTTATTTTTGATTTTTTAAGTTTTGACACTAAACAAACGATCGAATATGTATAGATAAATCGATAGATTTAAAATTAGCTATGACCTTGTTGCTTTTGTGATTTAGCTTTTGATTTTATCGTAGTTTTTGGTAATGATTCATCACTTTTAACTGATACAAATTTCGAGAAGTGACAAGAACTGATAGAATGAAAATATGCTCACTAAATTCTTGAATTAGATTAGAGCATTGATCAAGTAATTCTACCCAATGAAAAAAGACAAGAAACTTTGTATAATTTTTGAGCCTTTGATCCTAACCCTTATCTATATTATTTGGTAGTTGATGAATGCCGTCTAGTCGATTTATATGACGTATTTGTTCTAATGATATTTTCAGGTCTATGCAATTACTATAGTATCAAACTTTTAATCAATTGGCAATACAAAAATACCATTTGCTCGTTTCTTATTTGCCATAGAAAGTATGATACGATCGTAGTATGAGTAAATAATTGCAGTTCGTATAGGTAAACGAAAAAAAAGAATATTGCACTACTTGAAAAATAAGAATAAATTGTTTTTTATCAGAACTGGCGCGTTGATATACATATACTATGCATTAGATATTAAAAATCAAGTTTAATCCCAGAAATGTTTGTTTTAAACTGTGTTACTCATAGTTTGATATTTATCATACAAACTAATTTGATTTAGTCATTTAGCTGATGCTTTATTGCTACTAACTAATGAAAAGATAGAGTCGAAATGAAAATTGATTTTCTAGAATTGTCTATCAAATATTAAACTTAGACTTTATAATAAACTCGAACACGACGTGATCATCATTATCTATCAATGAACGATTTTCCTTATTCTTTGTGAAGTTGAAATCCTCTGCAAACGCATACATTTACAATTGTTTTTTCCATCCATGCAATTATCATTCATTTAAATAGATGGACTTAGACAGGCTGAGACAGAATTAGTTATATAAATAAAAAAATTAAATACCTCCATTTTGTGTCAATCGAAAGAACTGATTTTTATTTCGATGATAGAAGATCATTCGAAATTTTGTTTTTAAGAAAGAAATCAGAAGAAAAATAGTTTTGAGCTATTACTATTTGCTTCTATAAGGAAAACTGATCTAATGTGTGCTCTACAAGAAATTATGTATATGCATGACAATTTAAAATCTTAGGATATATTATGTTATTCAACACAAATTAAACTATAAGCATTTCTCTATAATTAGAGAAAAAATTATTCTATTTCGGTAGAACATGGCGAATATGTAATAATTTTCTTTTTATAAATAACTTTTAGAATTCACAGTGCACTTGGTACTTTCTCACAATCCAGACAGGGTGAAATTTCTTTTATTGAAATCAATAGTGTTAGCTCAAAACAGGTTTTGTTCATATTCCTCTCATGAAAAAAAATACTTTGAATGATTCTCTATCATCAATATAAAAATCGGCCCATTTTTGTTGACAAAAATAGATATATTCAATATTTTTATCGTATAGATAATTATGGTCCACCATATATTGTATCTCTTTTTTTTTTACCTGAATGAGCGTTATTAGTTTTGTTATGATAACAAAAGAAATATTATATCAACGGATGCTTTGATAGATTCATAAATACACAGCCATATTTACCTAGTTAATTATCTATTTTCTTTAAGCTTTGCTCGTTCTTTTTCTTCTGTCATTTTGTGATTAACAACGTAATAATGTCAAAGAGAAAATCTAACGAAAAACTTGTTCTTCTCTTTGCATGAATATTATTTATCAAACATTTAGACATTTGATTGAAAGTTTTTCAAAAAAAGAGACGAACATGCTCATATAAGTTATTTGATTCGATAAGAGACGAGCAACTTAATGTTTTAATAGATTTCATTCCATACATTCAATATAAATATTCTTCGAGCATAAAACTTAAAACGTGCACGCATTCGTCCATATAGCATGCCCCCGCTTTCCTCTTTCCATCTGAGTAATACTCCCATCATGCAAAATAAAAATAAAGTTTTTACGTATATTCATGTCTACAGGTTATTCTACCTATATTGAATCATTCATTCTATCTATGTCTTACTGTTCTATGATGTTTTCTCTTATTTTAAAATGGCCTTGTATAATATAAGTACGCATTGTCAAATCCTTGATACTTAAAAAAACATACATGTGTAAAATATGCTTGTATCAAAATCTAAAAAACAACATCATTATAAATTATTTCATCGTAATTCACTTCTTGTTCATTTGAAATCGTATGATTATTTTTGTATTTTCCTGAATTAGTTTTTACAATTGATTTTTTAATTTTCTTTTTAGTAAACGTCATTCAAGACATCGTTTATATTCGTCAGAAGAGAGGTTCAAAAAAATCTCTCGTATTCGACATTTTGTTAATAATTTTTATCAAACATATCGTTCATTATGTTTATTTGTAACATTTATTCTTCGTCTTTGCATTGTTATTGATAGAATAATAAGAGAATTATCTATGTTTATTGAAAAACTTATTCAAATTATAAGAGTTATTTATGGATGGATACAAATGATACGATCAATATTTTCTGCTATTCATCTTATCATGAGTCGTATTATGATGTTATCACACTGTATTCATCGAATATGTCATTTACTTACAATTTTACTTCAACCATTTTCAAATCGAACATTTGAAAAAGCTGTAAGGTCTTTTTCACATTTTGTATTTTATTATTATTCATCAAATGGTGCTTGTTATACATTACAAGCTCGAACACGTCATATTGTTGGTAGAGTGCGAGCAAGATGGAAAAAGAAACGTAATTATATAATTGATGATGGCGAAGAAGAAGATGATGATGATGATAATGACATTTATTATGATGCTTACAGTGAAGAATGCTAATATTATTAGAAAATTTGTTTGCCATAGTGTTTTGTACACATTAATCAATGTCAAATTCTTAAGAGCATTTGTGTAGTTTTTGTTATTGTTAATGATGAGAAATTGATATAAATAATTTATTAATTAATTTAATTTTTTGAGTACATTTAGAAAAACAAAACTTTAGATAATGATCAATGATGTGGGTAGAAAAAAAATGTATACCGACCATAAACAAGTTGGTATTGTTTTTTCTTACGTTTAAATCTAGGTGTATGATCTGTCAAAAAGAAGGTCGCATTATATTGTATGAAGGATAAATTTACAAAAATCTGTAATGTACAGTAAATCGAATGAAATAAATTTATTGTTCAATGTTTCTATTAGTATTTATTACATGATTTAAAAATCATTTGAGTTTCATATTTCAAGAATGAATGAATAAAAAAATTAACAATCGATAAGTGAAACTTTCTAGTGTACTGATCAGACTGAATAGATACTTGAACAAGGTCATGTTTTTTTCTTATTTTTTAACTAGTGAAGTTAGTCATTATACAATATTCGAACTATTGATCAATTCGAATGAGTAAATATTTAATTGATTTTTTTTATTACAATCATTCATTGATTGATTCAATCTATAGCAACTGATATGTGAATAATAATTATAATTGTTTTCATTCGAGTGCACCTTGTAGAGTACTTCTTTTTAATGAAAATCATGTCTTCGTCCTACAGTAAATTTTTTCATGATATTTGAGACAATATTTTTATAGTTATTACAGAAATATTTCTTTCAATGTGTCTAGACAAAATAAGTCGAATCGAATCACGTATGATAATTATCGAATCTGTATACGATCGATTCATTTGATCATGAAACTTTTTGTTGAACTAAGATTAAATTACCTTTGAGAAATATGCCAAGGACTTAATCTTGCTGATACATGTCACTTCAAAATTAAAAATAAAATTGCAAAACTTCAAGATCAAAATATTCCATAGTTGAAATATTAAGATGTCACTTTAGGTAATGAAAAAAAAAGTCAAGTATTCAATGTGCTAATTACATACAGTGGAATAACTAAATAAAACATAAGAACGTCAATTTTTTCTCTTTTTTCTTTTCAAAGTTTCATAATATGGTTCTATAATATTACTAAGAAAACGTCGAGTAATTGCATGGTAGTTGACGAAATGTTTTTGCAACTTATGAGTAAAGTATATTTTAGTGAGAAGAACTTGGCTTAGAATTGATCTGATCTAACTTAAGTTCAGCAAAATATATCTGAATTCGAATATTTCAAACCTTTATATGAAATAAAATTCACAATCAATCAATTTTGATATACTTTACTTAGATATACTCTAAAAATGTATCTGAAATCTTACATTATCTATATAATAATATTATTTGAATTAAGTTCTATAGTCGATTATTTATGTTATTTATATACTTTGTTGTCAATACGATGATTAATACGTCAATTTCAAATTTAGTTTTTTATGAAACTTTGATTCATTCTTATTTTTCGAAAATACATAAGAGCTTTAGATACATTGATTGAGATTTTTTAACCGTCTAATGTTCTCGTGAATTGAAATCTTCTGAATTTTAATTATGAATCAAAATTTATTCATATAAATATTTCATTAATATTTACAATAAATTCAAAGAGTTAACCAATAAGAATAAGTGCTACAGAATGATATAATTTATTACTTAATGGTCGTATACAAGATTTCATGAGATGATTACTTTTCATCAACATCGCCCACAATAAATATTGACAAAAGTCTTTTATTCTGATAACATTATTCACTGCATCATAAATTAAAAAGCCTTTTATTTAGCTGGCAAATATCAAGGCAATTTTACATTTGTTCTTCAAAAACACGGCTATATTTGAGCATTGAATAATAAAAAAGAATAACATACTCTTCTCATTTCTCATTTCAGCTAATAACAGACCAAGATAAATTTCTACTTTCATTCAATGTCTCAAACATGTGCTATAACTTCATGCAATCGTTTAGCACGTGCTCTATGTCATTGTTGTCAAAAAAATGTCTGCATCATTCATTTAAATGAACATAATGATTTACTTATTAGTCAGTTATATCGTCTTATTGACAATGTTAATATATTAGATAATCATCTTCAAACAATAAATATTCAAAAAACTGTTAATGATTATCGTGAAAAACTTGAACAATGGCGTCTAGAATCACATAAAAAAATTGATGAATTTTTCAAAGAAAAATGTCAAGAACTTGATCAACTTGTTGTCGATAAACTTGATGAACAAAGAGAAGAAATTTATCAATTACAATCAAAAATGACTGATTTTGTTCATGAACAACAAGTAACTCATCAAGAAATCTATGAATTCAAATTGATAATTGATCATCTCGAACAAGAAATAAATAATATCGAACAAAAATATGTTCAAATTTTTACTCGTCCATTGATATTAGATCATAGTTTAATTAGTATTAAAGGAAATAATGAAGAAGAATATAATTTATCAATTCTTTCACCTGTTTATAAAATTATTAATCGTCCAGATGGAAGTTATGGAGCATTAGCTAGTAATAATCGACATTTATTGATACATCAAGCACCAAATTTATGTTTAGTTGATGAAAATTTAGAAATAGCTAAGCGAATTCTTTGGTCTCATGGAAGAATTTATGATATATGTTGGTCATCAACAATTGATCGATTTATTATTCTTGATGAAAAATATCTTTTCTTAGTGGATGAAAAAACAATGTTAATTGAAAAAGTACAAACAATTGAAAAAAGAAAATGGTTATCATGTACATGCTCTAATGAATTTCTATTTTTATCAACAAATGAATGGGGATCATCTATAACGAAAATTGTTTTTACTTCAGAAAAAAAACTTGATAAGCAATGGCAATCACCTATGATATGTAAAAAAGATGAATATATTGATATTATTACGAGTAATAAAAGGAAACTTGCTATAATAATTCGAAACAATACAAATAAAACAATACGATTAGAATTAAGATCTTTGGAAACATTAGATTGTATTTGGTTACTTCTACTTAATCTTCCATGGAACGCTAATAGACCATTTCATTGTTGTCCATTTGTTAATGAAGATTGGCTTGTAGCCGATTATGAGACTGGATGTTTATTGCATATCACTAAAACAGGAAAAATCAAATCAATTCTACCGTATAACACCGTACCCTATTGTGTTACTATGTTTGGTTCGAACATATTAGTTGTATCTGCAAAAGATGGAATTCATTTTCATAATGTAAATTATAAAAAAACATATACTATTTTTGTTCTTTGATTCTAATGGTAATAGCTTATATAAAAGTTTTTAGATCGTAGAAAAGAAAAAGAAGATTTAAAATGATGTTTTCATCAGTTTATGAAGCAAATAATTTTAGATTACAAGAAAAATTGAGAACTTGATATTTACTAAGAAAAAACGCTATTAGTGCAATTCTTGCATGATTAAATTGTGAAACATGACATAACTACTGTTGCTAATCACAAGAAATAGATTTATTCTATCTATTTTAAAACATATTTCTTCATCATATTTGTCTTGCTCCTGTAAAAAATATAATAAGGAAGTAGTTCATATAATAGAACGAGACATGATTTATACATAGTCGTTAAATCGTATATCAACAACGTCTGTCACAGTCTATGACGAAAAAGGTGAACATTACTTAAGACATCTGTCATAGCCTGTGGGTAATTCAAAGTTTTATCTCTATACTTCAATACTTCTTTTTATATCGTATTTCATAAAAAAAACCATATTAATGAATCATTTTTGATAAAAAAAAATATACCTCACATAATCCAATAGAACTTTTAGAATTATATATGAATCAATGTTAAAATTGTTCTTTGTTTTTTACCATGTAATCAAATAAAAGACAATATAATTTGTCATCAAGTTTACTTGGGTTTATTATCTTCTATAATATCCATCATCAAAAATAATACACACAATAGATCATTAGTATATATAGAATAGTTGAATCATATTTTTGACATCAATTATTCACTGGACTAATTTGAAAAAAGGTTCTCAAAATCAATGTCATTAATAATTCTTCATGTCATTCTTTTCATATAAATATAAATGTTACTTAGACAAATATCATTTCACTTATGCAAAATGACAGCAAATTTTTATCATGCTTTTTATAAAAAATGGCTAGTATTTATTTGAGCAATAAAAAAAACTTCATTTGAGTACTTTTATATTATTAAATGTACAATAATTAATTCATTAAGTAGCAGTAGTAATTTCATATTTTAGCAATAAAACAAAGAAAAACTAAATTATTTTATATGATTTAGAGAAATAAAAAAGTTATTTACAATTGAAAAAAATGAAAAACCAGTATATTATTGTGTGAATAGAGCTTTTTTTGCTTTAGATGGTCTGCTTCTTTTTCTTTTTCTTTTTATATTTTATTTTGTAAAATTGAAAACCTACTTATTTGTATATATAAATGAATTCATATTGCCCTTTGTTAACGGGTGATTGATCTAACAGATCAATACTGAACCACTACTTTATTTCAGAAATGGTAACTATATATATATGAATGAGCTAGGAAAAAATCAAACACTCTAGAAAGAAAACATGACAAAGAAGGGAATATACCTGAACCAGAGTTGGAACCGGACAGGTTTTTTCTGTCCGGTCCGGTCCGGCCGGTTAAAAAATCTGTCCGGTCCGGTCCGGTCCGGTCAGCAACCGGCCGGACGAATTTCACAGCCAAACTGGCAAAAATCCGGCGAAAATAACCGACCATAAAAGTATCTGTTAACATAAAATATTGGCGAAGGGGAATTGAATATTCACATGCAGAAATCCCAACTAGGGGTGATCAATTTACATTTACGAAAAATTTATAAATCCAAAAATAAATTTTAAGAAATTTAAATAAAAAATAAATTTTAAAACGTTTTATTTATTTCGAATTTAAATTGGATTTACATAAAT